AGTTCAAGATACCGGTACATAGAATTATTTAATGGTTACTTGTTACTTGGTCCAAGTGATGTGAAATTGCATGATTTGAAGAGCTTCTGGAAGAGACAGGAAGATATGGCATTTGTATGACCTGACCGACTCAGTTTGAGGAGATAGACCTGGATAGCTGCAAAGAAACCAATTGACACGGGCAAAGATAAGGTATACTGTCACTCACAAAAACATTCACCTTTACACATAGTATATTTAAATCAGTACAGTGTGCCATGACTCCTGTTGGCAAGATTTTTATTTCCACGAGTAAGGAAACTAAAAAAAATTAAAGTATAATGAAGAATGCGGTGGAGCTCTGATATCAACCTGACAACATGGCTAAAGATGTACATGTACAATTACTATCAACTAATATGATTAGATTTTTCTTTGCAGAATTTTGATTACCAACAGCTGAAATGCTATTCAAACAAAGGGGTAATTTAACTCCACCAAAACGTCCATGCCCTAACAGCCACTATTTCTTCTAATTAAGAGAAGTTTTTGATGGTGATGTTAACTGTAATGATGATGAAGGTAATATCCAACCAAGGAGCAAGAGGCCTGAAAGGAATTCTNCATGATTCATCGCATGCAGATTAGATTATATAAAATTGTCAAAGACCACAAATTGCACTCGCCCATGTTAGCCTTTGAATATTTTACATGCTTATTTATCCTAAATTGCACTTCAAATCATGTGATTACGTTTTATTCTTTGACTTACTAGCATTTACCTTCAAGGAAAGTGTACACGCCATAGTAGAACATGAAGTTTAAAATTAATTGGTAGTTCAAGATACCGGTACATAGAATTATTTAATGGTTACTTGTTACTTGGTCCAAGTGATGTGAAATTGCATGATTTGAAGAGCTTCTGGAAGAGACAGGAAGATATGGCATTTGTATGACCTGACCGACTCAGTTTGAGGAGATAGACCTGGATAGCTGCAAAGAAACCAATTGACACGGGCAAAGATAAGGTATACTGTCACTCACAAAAACATTCACCTTTACACATAGTATATTTAAATCAGTACAGTGTGCCATGACTCCTGTTGGCAAGATTTTTATTTCCACGAGTAAGGAAACTAAAAAAAATTAAAGTATAATGAAGAATGCGGTGGAGCTCTGATATCAACCTGACAACATGGCTAAAGATGTACATGTACAATTACTATCAACTAATATGATTAGATTTTTCTTTGCAGAATTTTGATTACCAACAGCTGAAATGCTATTCAAACAAAGGGGTAATTTAACTCCACCAAAACGTCCATGCCCTAACAGCCACTATTTCTTCTAATTAAGAGAAGTTTTTGATGGTGATGTTAACTGTAATGATGATGAAGGTAATATCCAACCAAGGAGCAAGAGGCCTGAAAGGAATTCTGACCTTCAAGTGAAAGACATGAAGGAGGTTTTGTTGGTATCATTGACAGTTTAGACAACGACGAATTTGTTGCAGAGACTAGTCTCAACAGTCTATTGGAAAAGTGGAAAAACGGATCTTCCAGTAGAAGGAGCCCAGGTTTGCAGATTATTTTTAGAAATTGTATCACCCATAAATGTAATAATCCTGGAATAGCCAATCAAGAAAAATTAGTATCTATGAAAATCGATAGCAATCAAGCGATTTTTATCGATTGATCACAAAAATCAATGGAAATCTATGAACTAAATTGCTGTGTAAAATTGATATTATCAATTGGTCATGATTTCAACGATTCATAATAGTAAGTCCAACATTGTCGTTTTTTGGCATAAGTTAGATAGCACAGCTGAGAAAACACATCCACGAGTAACAACCGATCAACAAACATGGAAATAAGAAATGCGGAAACCATTACAAGACACAAGATTCTCTCTAAAACCGTGACCCTTTTGTACATAATAACAAAAACGGTTCAGTTTAATTACATTCGCAGTTCTCGCAGGGATGCCTGAAATTCAGGGTAGAAGATTTCCCTAGGTAAATTTTCACAGTTTGATAAATCGATATTGATTGACTACACTGGGAATAAATCAACCAGAAATGTAATACTAATCATAAATTTAATAAAAGTCAACTATAAATGTAGTTTATTACTAACAATAAATGTAATAAATATAATGTTATTATTAAATGAAGCTTATGATTGTCAAAAGGTTGTCAGATGTTCTAATAGTGGTTAAGTTTTGTTAAAAAAGCAAGAAAAGATCGGGTAATAATAAAACATACTCGTTCAAGCTTTCTGTTCATATAACCAATCCACTTTTCATGTATTACTATTACTTAATTTCGCGATTTTGGTCAGACTGTGTTTTGCAGGGATGTCAAAAGAGCAACCAGGTTCATTCTAAAAATGAATGAAAATGAATGAACAAGCTCAAGTAAGCTCAATCTCTAACTCTTGAGCAAAGGCATTTCATTTTCCATGACACCTTCTTGTTTCAGGCTCTTAATGACCATTAAGATGTCTACATTAATCAACTC